GCCTTTGCTAGTAATAATGATCTATACTAATTTTACATCTTTTAACTAGAATCCCTTCCATCTGTTTTATTCATTCATGTTTTTATTTACATGCTTATTTTTATTTACATAGGAAACATCACTGGATTGTCTCTGAAATATGCTACTGTGAATTAAGGGGTTATGCAAAATATAAGTTAAATAAAGTATTAAAGAATTTATTACAAAAATAAGCTTATTTTGCCTCCTTCTTGAAGATATATGTGTGAGTTTTTAATCTCTTTAACTATCCCAAATTTGACTGCACTTGGAATCCATTACCCTTGAAGCTGAAAAGTTTAGTAGACAAAAAAGTCAAGTCACAGAAATACAGCTGCTATCATCTGATTGCCGTTCCTTGGTTACAATGTCCTGCACCCTTTCTGTGAACAATAAAGAACAGTTGGGATTTTTTTTTTTTTGTCATTGGGAACAATAGCCAGCCCCAGGCTCTGAGAGCCCACACAGCATTTTATTTCTGTGCAAGCATTCAAAGAGAAAAATCCTCACACTGGCACTAACTATCCTGCTTCTCAGCGTTCTTTCCAATATGAAATAAAGCAAGTTTATTTTGAGGATAATGCTGCCCATCTATTTCAGAAACAATCAGCATCTTCAGAACTAATTAAGTAACTGTTTATGTAGTCTACATTCATGCTTTTCTTACATACCCATATTGTTATCTTACATATCCAAGTATTATTCCAAATAGAGTTCACCATGTTTTTATTTTCCCTAGCTGGTTCTCTCTCTTAACCAATGACATTATGTATGTAGAAAAGGAATTTCTGAATAAACTCTATATTCGGTTGAATTTCTCCACCCAGTCTATATATCTACTCAAAAAAAATACTTTCTCATTTGGTAGACAGTAATTCCATTGACTGAAATTTCATCCTAAGTATATATTTCTCACCCTACATTTAAAAAAAAAAAAATGTTTTGTTTTGTTTTTTAATAACAGAGAGAAGAACACCAATGGAATGAAATCTATAATCCATGTGTCTTGATTATTGCAAGCTATCCTATTTAAAGATAAAATGATACTTCCTGAAAAAGCCCAATTGCTGCTGAGAAAAAATGCCCACCTAGGAGCATTCCACAACCAGAGAGTAGGAGAGTCCACAACCAGAGCAAACAAATTGCTGGCCCCATGGAATACCACCGAATATACAACCCAACGCAAGGCTCTGGCCCCGAGGGGACCGAAGGGTTGAAAAACTGCCCCTTCCCATGCCACCTATTTCTCACACAGATAGCGAACATGCCCAGGGAAAAACTTATGGACATGGAGGGCAACAAAGTGTTATCCCATGCAATTTAAAAATTAATAAATCCAACGAGATAAAATCAGTAATTTAGCACTTTCAAAAACGAATGCTCTGCTTCAAGCCAATTACACCACACAAGAATTATTTCTTCCACAGCTGGATACCACCAGCATTATATGTAGAAGCATGAAGTATTTCAGAATTAACTTTCCAATCCAGAAAGCCCCGAATTTTATAGTGGGAAATTTGCCAGAAGTAGTAAGCTTGTTTAAAAGTCAAGAAATTTTCCCTTGCTGAGTAACACAACTAGAATCAGTAACGATTCTTGTGTTGCAAACTGATTTGGTAATATATACCCTGTAGCTAAATATCACTACAGTAATATTTGTTTCACTTAACGTTAAGATGTGTTTGCAAAATTATTCTCTGCATTGCAAACCTCATTTTGCTGGTTTTGATCATTCATTTTGCCTTCCAGATCTTCAAAAATGAAAACACCTCAATAGTCTCCCCTTACAGGGAAATATTTAGAAATTGACTTGGCTTTGCTCCGTCAGCCTGAGGTCAGAAAACTGCCCCACTACAAGATTACACATGAGGGGCTGCTTTGTATGGCCGGTCTTCATCACCCTGACACCCTCCCAGCATATATACACCCAAGAGATAAAAACTCAATGTATAGTGTAAGCATGCACGCCCTTATACCAATTTGAAACCAAGATTGTAGACCAATTCAAATTATGTGGTCATTGTTTTACATTTTTTCCCAAGACTTCAATTTAATAAAGCAATTAAAAATGCACTTTCTACTGATAGGAGATTATGAACGGAGAACCATTAAAGCACTTAAAAAAGCAACCATTATTAATGATTTAGTCCTTTTAAAAATTGATCATTGACTGGAGATAGTTTCCAGCATTCTTTATTGTGATGCTAAATGCCATTTAATAGTCTTTCCATGCAATCTCCATGAAATCATGAAAATAGAAAACTTTCAATAAAGTCGGGGTTGTTTTTTTTGTAGATTACAGTTCCTGTAAAATGGTAGTGTACTGCGAGAACAGTGTAAAATAGAGTTAGTGTATGCATCAAGTTTGTCAGAAGGAAGAAAGGCGTTTTACATAATTTTTTACTTCTAAAAAAAAAAATTTGTCACAAAGTTAAGAGAAATTAAGATTTTCATTTTGCAAAATTATTTCATTTGACTACTTAAAGCTCTCTCATAGGTGACAGAAAAAATAAACCACAATCACCAGTGAGAGTAGAATAGACCAGTTGGAAAACATAAAAATTCAAATCCATAAATGAAATTCTAAAATAATTCAATATATAGGATATCAGTTTAGTGTGTAAAAGGCTGAATGATTTTAAAAGGGGAACTGCAACAGGACATGAAGTGCTTCATTTTATTTCATGGAGGCCCACGACTATGTGGGAACACAGTGACTTTTGGAAAAAAATGTCATTTTCAGTGCCCAGAACACAAAGGAGGCCTAGGTAACAGCACCGCAAGCTTCTTGCTGGTTTGTTTTGGTTGGTTGGTTGGTTTTCTGTTGTTGTTTTGTTTTGTTGTTGTTGTTTTTTAATTCGGCTTCACAGTGCTGTTATATAGGACCCATTTCTAAGAATGAAAAGAGTAGTTCAGCCTCCAGCACCCATCCAACCCTTCATTTCTTAATCAGAGACTACCAAATCAAGAGGTTGTTATATTGGTTACTCCACATCAAATGAACTGAGATCACCAGCTCATTTATCAAAGACAAGGGATGAATTGCTTGAGTTTAAAATAAGAAGAAAAGTGATGAATATAAAGTTTAGCCCAAGAACCCAAAGACAGAAAAGACTCTCCTTTCAGGAGTTCCTGTGATAGCTCATTTAAAAGAAATCTCCTGTCTCATCTGCCTTCTGGTGCACATGTAAATGCTATGGATTTAACATGTGACCTATTGGCATCTCAAGACAGCATTTACCTTTGATATTTAGATTATTAACAAATATTATGCTTGTCAACTTTGTCTCAAGGTAATTGTCAGTTCATATCAATTAATCTGTTTGTTATTAGAAGACAATTTCAATCATAATTCTTAATCCCAGGACTAAGAGAACTGCTTTTCAATAATGAAGAAAATCAAAGCTTAAAACCAGTTTGCATAACTAGGTCTAGAATTTATTACTCCTGAGAGAACAAAGATACAAAATACATGTGAAAACTACACAAAGATTTCTACAAAGTAAAAAGTAGAAAGTGGGAAAAGGGAAAGCTACAGTTCAGTGGTTACACAGAAATGTATGGCATGCATTAAAATACTGTAAATTCATGAAGTTTTCTTTTTTTTAAGTGCAAATGGTTTTTTTTAACAGTTCTCACTGAAAGCTATGCAAATTGATACCTATGTTGTACACTTGTCACATTACCAGAAAGACACCAACACAAATCTATGCATATACACATCAATACGTCTGAAGTACATTTTGTGGTTTTGTATTTGTAGGCACTGGTTACAAGTCTGTCCAATACTCAGTTTCAGAAATTAAGTAGTAGCACTTATAGAACATTTCTCAAATACTACTAACAAAGGGATTTGTTTTTCAAATACCAAGAGAATGAAATAATTTGCATTGCCATTTATAAGCATCCAACAATCAAAGAAGTATTTACAAATCAACCATACAGATAAAGAACAGTATCAAATACTCTGTGTAAAAAGATAAATAATTAAAATGTATATTCCCACATCACAAAGAAATGTGATCATACAAATTATGGCACCATATGTTTGTGAAACATCAAAAATAAATGTAGCACATAGATACCTCTTCTTATATTTTACATTAAAATGCACAGTACAATGACTGTAAAATGTCAATGCCACAACACCCACCGTCTTCAAACTCTAGTTTCTGGTAATAGCAATTATTATTAGAGTCCGTGTTTATAGAAGTTTATAAGAAATGTCATACTTTAGCCTTGGGCTAATATTGCTCTGTGATATTGCTAGACCATGAAACTTGCATCCTAAAAAAAGTTACATATTTTCTTTAAAATTATCTCATAGAAAGAGCTAATTCACATGTGGCTATTGTGGGGTCAAGTGTGATAGATGCAGTCTATTTCTCTGGGTAGCAAAGTATGGGTTAAAAAAAACTTTTAATTTTTTACTTTTAGTCACAAATATCTATTAGAGGTGTTTGTTTTTTTTTAATTAAGGTTTATCCGTTTCAAATTTTAATTATAAATAGTCTTGCAATTTTCAATGCATAATTAGGGTTCCTGATAAAGCATTTAAACTTCTTTACCCTAATCATGCATCTCATTATGATAAATGGATCAGAAAATCTGGAATGCAGTGGTGTTATGCAACTCAAAATGCCAATATCCTGTTTTCTACTCCCAGACTAAAGAATGATATAATTAGAGCATATGGATGTATTTTAAAGGTTTGTCTGCACGTGTCCAGTTTTGACCACATGCAAAATCAAAATAAATGCATGTTTTTAAAGGCAACCAGAAATGTTACAGTTAGCACAGACTAAGGCAATGAAAATCTTTGTTTTGTAAAAAAAAAAATAATAATAATAATAATTTTTTAAAAAAAATTAAGGTGCAGAGAAATTTTTCTTGCTTGCTTTAATGGGTGCCAAATACTGATTAGCAGTGCCAAGGAAAAGTAATTTTACATAAAAGGAAAGACTATTAAAATCTAGAAATACCTGAATTGGATCTTTGATATCCAGATTTTTCCTGATTACCTGCAAAAGGAGTTGGGGGTGGATAGTTGGCTTCTGTGAGTTTACTGATGTCTGACGGTGGTGTTGGTGGTGGCGGTGGTAGCAAAGTGCTGTTAGGGCTACTAATATCTCCTTCAGCCACAAGAGTCAAGTCTGCCACATTCTCATCATCTACCATCTGTATGCCTTCAGCTTGTAACTCTCTTGACTGCCTTTTCCATATTGTTGCATTGTTTTCGTGTGCATGTGGAATTGGAGACAATGTAGTATTAAAAGGAACACTGAAAGTCTTCTGACTGTGGAGTGCTGTCAAAGCAGATTTATGTTTATTTTCTGAGTAACCCATTTTCTTAACTGAATTTTCATTATAGTTTTGTATGGACTCCTGTTTTCCATTTGGCGATGTACATCCATCCTTGCCATCACTTTTTGAAACTCGCTTGTTGAGGCCTTTAGGACCTGCTGGCGTAGATGAGGATGGTTCTGGTCCAGTGGGTGGTAAACGAAGAAAGTCAGGAAGAATAAGGTCTTCTTTCCTTAGCAGTCCACGTTGGTCATCTGCTCTGTTACTTTGAGCTTTGGATATGAGTTCAAAAAATTCTATTGGGGAAAAACCCAAAATTGACAAGTTTTTGTCAGAAAGTGCAATGCCATTAAAACGTAAATTTTCAGCATATTTATTTTCCATGAAGATCTTCAATTCTTTCAATGCTGCCTTGAAATAAGATCCCATGTTAATTAGGAACTTTTTCAATTGCAGCAATGTTCACTAGCATCACTATAATTAAGACCATCAGGATTGCTATTGTAAGAGTTTTGCAGTTTGGAACAGCTGCAATTCACTGAGCCTTGAACACATCTTCTATTTTTATTTCCTATTTTATGCATTTAATAAATCTGTACATATACAAGATTTTTTAATTCTTTATACAAAGCAAGGCTCTGGTCTTACTAACAATGAGTGCACATTTTATATTCTGGATGGTTTTTACCCATCTTAATTCAAAAATAGCCATGCCATTTGAAAATTCATAGATTCAAAATGTTGCAAACTTCCTTGTTAATACTGATTTCTTCCCAGTTTAGTAATATTTTATCACAGTTTAAATTCAATTCATGGTATCTTTTTAATCCAGTATATTATCATCACAGAGCATGATCAGATGATGGTTTAAGTAACCCCATTTTACTCTGAACTGCAATGAATCAGTAGCATATAGATAGTCGATAGCCATCAAAAGAGCCATTAGTAATAACGATGGGGAAGGTTTTTTAATGGAGTTTTTAACACAATTAGAAGTGATTTTCTGATCACATACTCAATGATGTCCAATGGTTTAATATGTTTCTATATATAAATAATACCCAGAGTAAATCACCATTGTTCTAGAAAGCCTCAAAACTTGGCAACAAGAAACTTATCGGTCATAAGCCAAGAATCATATCACTCCTCAAAAAAGAAGCATTGCAACAATAGACAAACTCTTTGGTAGCAATCATATAAATATAAAAATATGTAACTCTTAATATAGGGTCTCTGCATGTCCTAGTTTTACAAGAAAAAAGCACTGAGACTATAGAATATTAAAGATGCTTAGAAACGCCATCTCCAACAGATGAATTAAAATCAATAGTTTCAACCCAGCTTATAAATACTGTTTGAAGCAAAAGCCATTACAAAAAAGCACAGAACATTATTATCAGTGTTAACCTAGCGTAATATAAAGTCATACGCTTGCATTTGTACGACCTCATTTATAATCTTCTAATCATATTTGGCAGGCTTTGCAATGTGTTTGTAAAAATGAGTCTTAAACATGCTTTGTCAAATGCCATATAATCTGAATGTAGCCAAGATGGAAGCTTCAAAATGCTTCTTATTGCCAAAGTTTTGCAAAATGGCGGTATGCATAATAAAACATGCAACATTTCTGAAATGTGTCATACAAAAACGTTCTTTTTTGAAATTTCAGACTTCATAGAACAGGGTTGTTTTTTTTCTTTGTTTTTTTTTCATTAAAAAACAGTCTACAACACTCAGTAAGTATTTTCCAAACTTAGACAAATTTCACAAAATTCAAAATAAAATGTGAAAGCCACGAATTCTGAAGTTTTCAAATTATGTTAATGTTTTACTCAGCCCTAGGAAGAAAAATGAAAATATTAAAATATGGAAAACAATTTAACAAAATAGTAAGCAACAGAATATAATTTAAAACACACCAACATTTTGCAATAACATTTACATTAACAAACATCTATTTTGCAATAAAAGTTTTAGTCATGGCATTTTTTTAATTCCAGTCAGTGGACATTTACTTATAGATGAACATTCATTTGCTCTATAACTGTACATAGCCAGGCTCTGGATATGCACATTAGTTAATATCAGCAGTAAATTTTAATTTGTGGGTATATTCTGATTTTTTTTTTTGTCTGGGGAAATTAATGCCTTAGGACAGAGTGGTGGTATACCAAGATTTCTACTTCTACATCAGTTTTATTCTTCTGTCTCCCAAAGACAACTTGCTATAAGAAAGTAAATTCTCTTTTGTTAGCTTTCGATAATATCATCAAAACTCTAAGGATTTAACTGGAAGTAAAAATAGGACTCAGAATATACAAGATGACCAATAACCGCTTTGCTTACTATTACTTGTAACCACCTTTTCAGGGCAGTTACTGATTGTCACCTTAGCTTTTACTCTTGCCCATCACATCTCTACATTCATCATCAGATTGTACTGCCCTGACCATTATAGGCTTTAGTAAAACATTTTCAAAAACTCTTACCTGAGTAAGTTGGTTACCTGAGTAAATTAGTTCTGCACAATTGTGCAGAACACCTTTCACTGAGTTACAAAATTTTATGTAAAAGTGGACAGAAAGATGAACTTTCACATGGCTTATAAAGTTGCAAGGGGTATCAAATGGGATATTCAACTGCAATTGAGTAACTAATTCCTTTTTATTTTACTTGGAATTAGGTACTTTACACTTTTGAAAATCCCACTAGACACCTATGTCTATCTTTAGGTACTTCAAAATTACTGTATCTGGCTTTTATGTAATCTTAAAGTTTTACTTTCAGTTTCAAAAACTTTACAATTCAAAGAGTATCAAACAAAAATACATGGACCATGACTGATTTTCACAATGCACTATTAAATAAATACATGACACCTTTTCCTACACAGATATACAATTCTAATTTTTCCAAGATTATTTATGTTATTACATAAACTATATAAAGTTCACATACCCTCTGCTTCATCCAAATTTATTTTCTGACATTTTTTTTTCCCAATCTTTGCAATAGAGTCTTCTCTTTTTGACAGTCGAACTTCCCTAGCATTTTTTCCATTTTCGCCTTTCATTTTGATAGAATTAGACTTTCCTAGAGTTCTTCCCTCTCCCTGCATTAGAAGGAAAGTTAAGGTACTACTTTCATTTATACTATATCATTGTGTACATAATATAGTCTAAGTTATAAATAAAGTTATTTTGAAACGTTTCTCCAACACCACCACAACAAACGTTTTAGTTTAATCTTGATTATTGCAAAAACATTTGCCATAATTCTCCCCCAAAATGTATAAAGAATATTATATTGTTTACTCTGAGGAATTCACATTACAGAAAGGGTCTATGAATTTCAAAATAACTTATCATTTTTGAACATAGACAAGCCAATTAGATGCAAAAATAAATAAATAAATAAATACACTGAAAGAGCCTCACAAAGACAAGTTCTCACACATATATGCTGTTGACAGTGGAAAAATAATGAATGAATTACAGCTATAATCAATCTAGTTACATAATTTGGCTGATTCAAAATTATGGATGAATGCAGCTTTAAGTATACAATTCCAGAAAGAAACAAAAGATGAACTAAGGGACAAAAATCACTGCAGAAGACTTACAGTAGTAGATACTTGATTTCTTGAAGTAGTCACAGTTACACTCTGTTTTACTGATGCACCTTTTTGTTTATCTGTAAACACTGAACATAAACATTCTTTCTTTAATTACAAATTTATAATTTTCCAAAGAAAACAAAACATCTAAGTGACTATGATGCACAAAACAGATATTTTGCTGTAAAACTTCAAAGGTATACTCAGAAAACAGTGATCATAGTTGATAATGCTGACATCTTTGAGTCAAAACCTGCCATAACTTCCCTCCACCTCTAATTTTTCTTTTTTTTAACACGAGCAATATTTTTAAAGTTTAAAGATTCTGAAGTTCCATTTAAGTTCTCCTATTGTTCTGTTAATTTAGATCAAATCAAATCTCAGTGTACTGTTCAGTTTGTATTTCCCAAAGTTAAAAAAACTCAATTTAAACAAGCAAAGAAAATCCAACAGAAGAGACTGTTGAAAGGTCAAGTTGAATTTTCTCTGATCTGTTTTATGCATCAATTGTTTTCTAGACACTGCCATATCCTCCTTGTCTATTTGTATGTTAACTAACAGCTCCTTCAAATTGCCTTTGGTTACAACACACATACAAACCTAAGGCTGAGTCTCAAGCAGATAATCATAGCAGTTTTTTTTTTACTGGGAAATGTCACAGAAACAGCCTACTACTGGAATGATCCTCTATGATTTATGCTCTTATAATAACTGGCAGCACATTGGATTACAATTGTATTCATAATACCTAAACTAGTTATCTTTGAGAGTATTTAGATTGGTATCTTTTTTTTTCAAAATGACAATTGATTTTGTTTCCTAGAAAAATGACAGATCTGCTTCTCTTCAATAAATACCTTCAAATTTATTCTCCTAGTTCCTTCTTCTTCCTTGAAGAAGATCTCTGCTCTAAATCAATTCAATTTAACCACATGTAATTTTATTGTTAAAGCTAAGTGTTGTGTATCTGTAATATCTGCCAATGAAACTGAACCTTCTGTGCATGGAAATCACAAATCATATCATTTTTAGTAGTATCTCTAGAAATTATAGCTTTAAACTGGAGAGGTAAGCTCTGCTACTTTCTTATGTTACAGATGGAGGATATTATAACAGTGCTACACAAACTGCAGCTGTTTTACTCATACAGAGTGCTTCTTTTTAATTAATTGCCAAATTTACAGGAGTTATTTGTCTTTTTTTTCTCATTATTATCACTACGCAGTATGTCCTTAAACGTGTGTGTAGTTCCAAGAGTGAAAGTAATACTGTGTATTCAAATATTACTTGTGCAGAATTTCTTACAACAGTAAAGAACGTGGCATCAACAGACAAATTTAAACTTCAATCTTCAGAAAATTCACTCCTTTTTACTTAAAAATAATATAAGCTACATGTGACATATCAACAGAAGAAACTAACCAGTCACGGTTTTTGAAACTGACTTTACATTATAAATAAAAGCTTTCATACCACCTTACCTCTACTCTTTGTTGGCTCTTTTTCATCTAGAACAACTCGCTGACCATCCAGATTAGATATAGGGACACCAAGATCAAGTGGTTCCTGCTCACCATTCTAAAGTCGGATCACAGTTTGTATATAATAGAGAAAAAGCTGTTTTCAGAACAAATTTACAATCTGACTTCAAAAAGAAAAAAAAAAAACGAGCACAGTATTTTTATGTTTCAGTGTAGCCTCAATAAATCCTTCTGCCTTCCTAAAAATGTTTATTCCATTTGTGCATTTGTGTTAAATTACTTTGACTACAATAAGTTTGACCCATTTACATGAGAAAAATGGTATCTGGGGAGAAGATACAAGGAGACAAAATCATCCACACACAAATAGTCTAGGACTATTGCAGTATATGCTTAGAAAATCACATTTCTCAGAGGCAGTTTGAGATTATTTTCTATTCTAAATTGGGCATATTTTGTTAATTTTATAATTCCATTAAATGAAATTATCTTAATAGCGATATATTTTTCAGGTATTTGGAAAACATGGTGTGGTTCAGCCAATGCATTCTAGAAATGCTACAAATTTAACTTGCCATTCCTTGACATTTCCTCATAATAGAATAGAGGAAATGCTAGGTGAGCATTTGGCCGTGGGCAAGTTGAGTTAGCCTGTTTCCACAGAAATATTCTTTATAAGGATTTGACGCAACTTTCCTGATTCCCAGAATAATGGGATGACAGCTTTAACTAATCTCAATCAACTTTCCTCAGCTTACAAGTGGAAGAGTCCGGCTCTGGAAGAAGCTATGTTCAGGTTCCGTCATTTTGGATGTTGGATTTATTCTGATTGAGACTATAACATAGACGCATACTGCAGCTTTCAGGTAGTTACTATTAAGCACAATGTTTATGACTACTATTCATTTTCATCAAAACATGTGGTTATAAATACATGTATTTATATAAATGTACATATATACATATATATATATATGTACATATATATAATACATATATAAATACATGTATTTATAACATGTGGTTATAAATACAGATTTTAATGGCTGATTATAAGGATAGGAAAAATTTCAGAAACACTCTTCTCCAGACAGAAAATAACACAGCTTGAATTACATCAAAAGATACTTACTAGTCTTGCCACAAGCTCATTAAGATTTAAACCATATTTTGCAACCACAGGCCTTAAGACCTCTGTTACTGGTTTGGTGGGTTTAGCCTTCAAACCAACTGATCGATTGATTGGAACAAGATCCAGCCTGAAACATACCAATTGTCACAGTAAGTATGAACTATTCTAATAAAACATAAAAAATATATATTAATTCCAACTTACAGCAAAGTTACACTAATTCAAAACCAGTGACCCTGCATATAGTGAAACTTCACTAGCACAAATCTGTCCTTACCTGAAGGGATAAAGCATATTTAATACAAATAAAATGCCCACTGTTTCACGTGCCAGAGCTGAGTGAAGACATTGTGGGCATGGCGATCCTCAGACCAATTAAATACATTATATGGAACTTTTCATTTTCCCACTGCGATTGATCTGACCATTCTGGTCCAATAGTGCTTCCAAAATTACTCAATACCTGTGCTGCAGCCTTGGATGCAAGAAATACATTTCTTCCCATTGTCACAACAGAGACTCATGATGTACTACTATTCAACTACTTTGAGATGGACGTGGACCAGCTTTTTTTTTTTTTTTTAAATGTGAGAACAAATACAGTGGAATTCCAGAAGATGTTAATTTCTGGTTGGATGACACCATATCATAAAAATTTGCTGTAAGAGGAACCCATATGCAAAAGATCTGTCCTATATGCTTGATCAAAATTGCTCCAGCTTGAGCAGTTAAGACTGAGATCATAAAAATATATAATTGTCCCTAACCTGGAACACTGGCATTTAAATTCCACTTGAATCTATAACAGCAATTAAGTAAACTTCATTTTTCAGTGTTTGAAATTCACCAGGTGCTGCTCTAGTCAGTTTGAAATGTTCCTGTAATTCCATATTTCTCCCATTGATCCTTATGCTGGCTGCCCTGATCTGAATTACCTTTTAGAGGCACTCTATCCCACCATCACCTGAAGAGGAAGTGTTTAGATAGTTCTAAATCTAAGGGAGATCAGTGTTTAAACACAAATGTGGGATGGAAAATGCCAGAAAAAGAGCATTATTGACTCTTACCGAAATAAAGTGCGTTTTTCTAAACGTAGGTCCCGAGACTCCAGGATGCTACTGTCTTGGTGCAATACAAGCGGCTAAAGAGCACATCAGGAACAAAAGGAAAGAGAATAAATGAATTTTAAAATATGTAATAAAGAACAGCTATGAGATTAAAAAAAAAAAAAGCTGTTCAGATAACTCAGAAAATTACTAGTATAGGTTGTATGCATTCTAATGGATATTAATTTACAATAAGCAAATAGATTGAGGTCTATCTTTGTCTAGTTGCAAGACAATGACCAAACTTCAACTTCTACTGCAGTAATCAGGTATTCAAGAATTCGGTGTTTTAAAACAATCTTAGATCCTCCAGCTTAAATAGTTACATAGAATGAATGACACATTAAAAAACATAAAAAAAATAGCAGTCATTGAAAGATTTAAAAGAATAGGCACATAACTATAGGTACATGCATTAATATTTGCTATCGTAAACATCTAAATTGATCATAATGACAAATTTAAAAAAAAAATAAATGTTCTACATCCACAGCTGCTCTTGGAACTGCAGACATCTGTTGGAGTAAGTGCTATCATCCCCACACCAAGGTAAGCTGCTGCCTTGGAAATTTTCCTCAATATTAAAATATGTACCTTAATTCTTGTAAGGATTTATCTTGTTTCAGCTTTGAACAACTGAATGTCATTATGTTTTTTGTTTGTTTTAATGAAGAACCATCTACATTTTTCCTAATAATCAACCCAAACCTCCCCGGGCTCAACTGGAGGCCATTTCCCCATGTTCTAAATTCTTGTCATAAACTTCAATTCTAGTTTCATCAAAATTGTTCTTTAACTAGAATTGCCAATGTAGACCTATAGGTAGAACCAGAAGATATGCTACTATTGGGAACATAATTTCTTACTGGTAAAATGACTATGAAAACTCTTTAAAAAACAAAAAAAAAAAAAGGAAAGAAAAGGAAAAAGAAAGATATGCACTACCTTATCACCTCCAACTAAAAAAAGGTCCACTGCAGCTATGTTAATGCCATGTTTCTCACAGAGCCCAGATAGCACCTCTTTGATAGAGAATCCAGATTTAACAGCCATTTTGCTGGAAGAACCATCTGGAAGGTTTACACAGCAGTATTTGGGGGATTTCTCTTTATCTGGTACAAATGCAGGTAATCTAGAGGTTTCAGACTTGACAAGAAAAAGAAAGAAAAGTCAATGCCCAATGGGAAAATACCATAGTCTTTCATTTCAATGTAGGTAAAATAAATTAAAATAGTAAAATAAATTATGTTCTATTATTAATTTTGCATTTCATTAATTTCAGACTGCGAACATAGAACACGATTGTTAGAAATCACAGCATCTTCCCTGATTATTTCCGCACATATGAGCACAAAATTGTGAGGTTTGTAATTCCTTCTCTCTCTTCTCTCTAATTTTAGGAGCAAAATTAAGTCATGACGACTAGACGGACAATTCACAACTTTAAAAGAAACAGGGAGGAATTCTGGTACTACAGAAATCAGCCTAACACGAATATGGGTCAGGCAAAGAGAAAGCTTTAACATGTAGCTGTTCATAAAAAGACCTCAAATGTCTGGTAGATGGAAAAAGCTGTTTATAAAGAGCTACGGTAGCTCCCCTTGAAAGGTAAACTTTTCTTCTAGAAGTTTACTGGTGTCTGAAGTTCAGACAGACAATAAACAGGATACAGAGGATATCTTTCTGATAAAAGGACAAAATTAGAAACATATGAACACAATCTCTATTCCAGGTCTATCATTCTAAAATTGCTTAATACTACATCTCGTCCTCTAAATGTATCACTTAAAGATGTTTTCCCATAGCATTACTTCAAACAAATTACTTCAGACTTCATAAAAAAAATAGTAATTCACTGTTTTCACTGCTTCCCCACTTCATTATTAAGAGCAAACCATTACCAAGTCAAGACTAGCAGTTGATGACATGGAGCCTTGTGATTCCCTCCTGTACGATAACCCATTGGACTGAATAGAATCTGTTTATGGAAAGAATAAATGATCAGTAAAATGGTTGTTTTTTTTTTTTATAATTTCTTATAATACAGAAAGTTATTGCAAAACATTAGCTCCTCTGGTTAGAGAAATCATTTTTTCATTAAAGGAAAACTCCAAATATTCATCCTGTGCACTGAAGCACAGAAAATTGAAGCAATATTTGGTCAAGTTATGCAACTCTTGAACAACCCAATTTGGTTTTATGATGTTTTTAAATATAGATATATATATATAATCCTAAAGTTTTGTTGTTGTGTGTTTTGTTGTTTTGTTTTAATTTAAAAATCAGCTTACCTCTTCAGATATTTTAAGGGAGAGATGTTGGAAAACTATGATCTTACACAATCACTAGTTATTTTCAGAAGCTTAAGTCTATAATCCTAGTAAATGTCTCTGATATTCTCATATATAAAAACACAAACTATTAATTTGACCACGGACATCTCATGGGAGTGTGGCTTTACTAGAAAATAGACAAGAAGAAAACACAACCACACAGTCTAAATTTGGTGCTTTGATGACATTTTTCTATTATTTTAACTCAATAGAATGAGTTAATCCGACACTTTCATCTCTTTCTCTAGAGACCATGTACTGGTGCATTCATAATGAAAGTCTTCCTTAAACTCTTGAAAACAACAAAGTTAAGCAACAAAGCAGCAAATTATGAGGGCTTTCACAACTCTGACTCTTCCTTCATTTTAATCAGGAAAGGACTAAACAGGAAAAGTCCTTTCCTGAATAATAGGAAACAGAAATAGTGAGTGTGTTCAGAAGTGATTGTACCTGTGTGGTATTAATAAAAGAAAGATTGGTAGGACCATGTTGATGGAGGGTTTTTTAAATAGCTGTAGCTACGACACTATTTGCATGTATAGCTCCTGAACTTCTCTGTAAAGGACTGAAATTATCTTACTATAAATATAGCAGTGTTCTGCTTTAAAAAGCAATTGCCAGCACAAAGAAACATGGAGTATACTGTAAAGCAGGGAAAAAAAAAGTCTCTTGGAAGTCAATACAATCAAGTTTAAACATTTTCATACTTCTATTTTTACACCTGTTTCAATACAGCTCCGAGTGACACTATGCCCTTCTGATTTGACAGTTTCTTTTCCCTCTGTCACACCTAGAGATGTACTTAGAAGCAAACTCAATATGATGTGATTAGTCATATCTACTGATGAAACAGGTGAGCAACAATGTGGAATGTGAACACTCACCATGTTGATAATCACCATTTTCCTTTCTCTTCTGCGATTTTCCCAAACTCTTACTTCTTGACCATGAGAAAAACGTCCCCCTTTTTTTCTTCTCAGTGTCCTCCTCTCCTGACTCTTCATTTAAGGATCTTCCTGACTTTGATTTACCACTTAACTATCACCAAAACACAATTAAATCATTGGTTGGAACACAGTTGTAAGCATATTACTTATAAAACAAACCTCACACACTTCTTCCTAAATGAGTGTGATGGTCAGGTTAGTAGTCATCTTTACCCTATCAATAACTATAGAGTCAGCACCCCTCCCAGCAGGAAAAAAAAAAAAGAGAACAACTGTGGAAACCAAAAGAAATATGTGATGGAGATGTTCTACCAAGTAGGGACGATAATACAGTAGCTGAAAACAAGCCACGTAGAGCTCCTGTAAACATGAAAGAGCTCTTCACAGCTTACTAGTTACTGTGGAAAAGCCTTTAGCCTTAATTTTACAACACAGAATTTCCATTTAGATATTTCTGATATTTTTTCTAGGCTGGGCTTGAACATGAACAATGGAAATGTACTGTTTCACCCTTATAAATAAATACAAGTATTTATTAACACTGAAGAATACAAACTTTAGGTATGCATGCTAATAAACTAACCTTGCTTTTAACACACTATTCTTGTTAGATTATTAGACTATTCTTTAAAATGCTACTTTTAAAGTTTCCTAGTCATAAAAATACATGAAAGCAGATGGGCTAATGCATAGTGATTGACATGACAAATGCAAAGTTATAATTTACCCGTGCAGTTATGTAATACCATGGTGGTATTATCCAGATGAAGAAAAAATAAACTTTAAATAATGTTAGGAGTTCAGTAAGACTACGGGTCCAATTTTTAAGCAACTGTATCTGCTTTACACAGAATGATCTTAGTTCAGTATGGCATAAGACATTTAAAGAGTACCCCTTTCAAAACTGAGTTAGATTGTGTCGATTTCTCAAATAATTTCTGATATCTCAGCTCTCAGCAAAGATTAAAATATCACATCTCAAATCCAATATTCAATCAAAATAAAATTCTGAACTGATATATGAAAATAATCCCCAATTTTTTATTTTTACACATATTTAAATTACAATATGGATTTAAAATTATACTTAGGAAAACAACAGCTAAAATTCTGATTTAGAGGTGTGGATTAAAACAATGCATTTTTCTGAGAATGTAAATATTTTGTAATTTTAGTATTTGTCTAGTGATGCTGGCATTCTAATTGTTTTTCATATATTATCTTTGCCCTTCTAAAGAACTTGAAATACAGTTTCTAAGACCATATTTTTCAGATAACAACAATGAAATCAGAAGTAACCTTTTTCGGTGTTGAGATATTGGACTTCTCTGAACTGATACTGTGTTTAGAAGTGGGACTGCTGGGAACACGTTGTGGATCTGGAAGAGTACGACCTTCTACTTCAGCTAGGATGCATTCTTGGTAAAGGGGGGATTTGAGAAAGCGAGTATAGCTATCAAACTTCATCAAGTTAAAAATCTGAAATTAAAATGCAACAGAGAATGATTACACAAGCTTAAATAACACATTAAAAAAAAAAAAAAAGAAGCTATTTCACAACAGCCAACTTCCACAAAATTTAGTAAACAGCAATAGGCATGATTTTGTTTAGATCTGGTTAAATATATTATACCAATTTAGAAGGAAACAGAATTTGATCTCTTCCTTTAGCACAGGTTCAGAGAAATATTATGATTTCCATATAGTGCAAAGTTCATAAGTTGAGTCTTGACAACACCACCCTCGTATCCATCTTTTACTGTAGTATTTATGTCTGCACATTCTATGTAAAGCACATAGCAAGCTAGCCATTTGAAACATTTTTAAGGAATTATTACAAATTATACAAGTATATTTTTAAGGTATCTGTGAACAAGAAGGACGTTTATGGTCTAAAACTCAAGGAATATGATATAATCACAGTATGCAACAGTATATAATAATACAAGATATACAAAGTTAACTACTGACACAGGAAGGAGCAAAGAGCCCTATACAGCACTATAATAGTGTTCATGTGCTCAATAATAAGAAACAAAGGATCATTGGTTTTGGAGGATCCAATAATCAAAGTAATATAAATCAAGACCTTGAAAAATAAAAGATTATATAGGATGGCTGCTCTGAGTGAGACCAACGTACATCTTTAACAACATAAGAAGGAAGAAGAACAACATAAGAAGAAGGAAGCAACTCTATACCATGCCTGGAGCAAAAGTCCAAGACTAGTTTAGCCAAAGTAAATTCATGCAAGTAAAGGAAGAAAAGTTTTGTCTTAGTTGCTAAAAAGAACATCAAATGTATTGTTCCATTTTTGCAAACCTATAGCTTTAAGTGAATTCATACTTTTAACTTTATATCTTCTCTCATGATTAAACTAACTGCACATGATTTGAAAAAACAGAATGAATGCCTCTTCTTGGGACATGACTAATTCCCTACAACAGAAGAATGGCACACACCACCCAACTGGCTACGGCATTGCTAGGAGTCTATGGAGAAGCCCATCACAAAGCTACAGGGGCCCAACTGCAGGAAGGAAGCATTTTTTAAACAGAGAGACAATCTTCTCAACAAGCACTAGCCCAAAGTTTTTCTGGTAAACAGCAAGATAATGCAGAGAAAACTTGATGCTGAAGTGTCACAAAAACCTAACCCAAACTGGATGCTGACATCCACATTCTTGCCTCCAGCCATATTTCTATTCCCTCTTAGGTGTTGCCTGTTGTTTCTGTTGCATCCTCTAATTAATGGTTTTCCTATTGAAAAAATACTTTTGTAGGGTTTATTTTACCAGTTTAGTGAGCTGAAACAGCCCAGCACAAAGTCTAGTGAGCCCTCAATGCGGTGTCAGAGATGACTGAGTGTCAGTGACCCTCCCCATTAGAAAAACTGCTCACAATAGAGAATTTCCCATGAAAAATACAATCCTTCTCTGACCACAATTATACTGGTAAAATTCAAAAAGGCAACACACACTCTTCAGGCAAAGGCCCAGCAACTTACTTGGTATATGCAACATGCACAGCTGTAAAACATTTAGCTACTTCTGTTGAACTCAAAGAATATTACTGTTGTGTATTACCAAAACAGTATAAAATATAGAGAGCCAATTACAAGAATTAAAAATGCCTCAGTCTCATGGAGTCATAGATGCACTGATGATGCAAGTTTATTAGGGAAAAATGAAAGTACAGTCTGCACACCTACAGATACATTTATATATATGTGTGTATATATATATATATATATATATATATATTTATAAAAGACCATTTTGCAGTGCATCTAATGCTAAAAGCTTGCATTTAATACAGTTAAAGGATGAAAAGTATGATTTTAGTATCTTTAAATGATCTACACTGATGCATCCAGAATCACTCAAAGTCTTTGTTCTTATTCTATTGTATGAACAGTGAAATACTAACTAGACCTTTTGGTTGCATTCACACTGTTATATTATACCACCTCCATCATCACATTTGGGAATATTTTTGTAAGGTTATGGACAGAAGGCAACTTTAAGAGCATTCCCAACAGGAAACACTTTCCAAAGCATTCTTCTACACACACTTGCAGAACTCCATTGCAGCCTTACCACTAGCAGTCCGTATTCCAGATCATCAAACAAAGCTTATCCAACCACCACAAATCAACACCTTTACACTTTGCACTCAGGGCTGAAATTCAAAAAAGCCTTGTGACAGCACAAATGAGCCTTCTCACTGTTCACGTGGTGTTGTTACAGTGAGCTGAACTTGGAAAGTCTGTGTATGTGTTGCACAAACCAAACTCACCTGCAGTTCCCTGTTCCCAAGGTCACACCACCCGCTAGGACCACAAAACCGACCCACTGTTTTCTCACTTAGCGAAATCAAGATACAAAGGGCCATCAAGGCAGTTCCTTACCCAGCACCTGCCTCAACCAGACAACACCACATTAGTAGCTCAGTTAACACACCTAGCTGCAAGGCTGCTCAATGAGACAGAAGAAACTGTCATTACATCTTCATAGGAGGAAGAAAACCTGCATCAGCGCAGACACCACACTAAAGAGAACACCATCTGCTCCAACAAACAAGAAGGTGAAGAAGAATTCCGACATGGAAAGCCAAGATTAGGAGTGCATGAAAATGTCTGAGAAGATCATGGCTGGCAATTCCCACAGAAGCCTCAGACTTCGGGAGGTGCACATGGGGCAGTTGTATGCTGCATTATATGCTAGAAGCTGCCAGACCAGCAGTTAGGCCTACCCTTCTCTCCCTACTTGGCAGATGGAGAAAGTTAATACATCTATCTGTTTGTGCACCCACAAGCATGTAATCTGAGGCTGCACTTAGGATATGATTGTGAATTGGTTCGTTTATGCAATTAAATCTATATCTTTGGTTCCTAAAAAATATGATCTCAAAATTATTTCTACTACTAAATTGTTAAGGTGGGAGTTACAGAAGAGTTTACTTGGACAAAAAAAGGAGAAACTTAAATTCTACAGAAAATGTAAAATATATCTTGTTGTTACAGAACTGTTCTGTTGGGAACATCAAAATTACTTAAAATGCATCTGCTTCAGAGGTCTTCAGACACGAACAGTTTCAATAAGCTCTTTGTTTGACAGTTCTATTAAAGCATAAGGGAAGGAGTCCTTCAATACGACAGGCGTATTTTACAAGCCACTTTACCAAAATTAGATACTATTTGTGTACAGAATTGTCCACTAAAGGAAAGAATAAGCAACCATATGCAAACACCATATGCAATGGTAATTCCTCACAAGTTACTACCTACTTGCAATTTCAATGATATTTTTCAGATTATTTAGTTAATGGCAGTTTTCTATACATCCTCAAATGTACACATGAACAATCAAGTAGCAGTCCTTTATGCAACCTTTTTCTGTACCACTAACTGAATCTTTGTGATCTTGGCTTCTCTGTGTTTTTATAGGTAGTAAGGTACACAGCATGTAAAAATACTTTTATACATTTCAAAGTACTTCAAAGGAAAAGATACCAGACAAACGTACAACAATGTTATGTTTTCTAGAGTTACCTGAAGTTGCTGTTCCTTGAACATATCTGGATGTGGGGAATTGAGAATATCATCTGCCAGCTGTGCCTGGCTATCAATATTAACTGGAGTTGTAGCTTTGCTACACAAAAACTTAGTGAAGATCTCCCGAGCTCTGTAAGAAAGCTGTAGAAAACCAATGCTATCCTGTTAATTTATATGCAACTTTGCAAATGCATCTTTACACAGCTATTTTTAATACTGATGTATTTAATCCAAAAACATAGAGCCATTCCAATTTCCCAAATTTCCCAAATACATATAAGCAGTTTTCATTTAACAGCTTTAGTTAGCTTTAGGAAAGAAACAGTGGTTTTTTTTCCTTTAACATTGTAAATACTCATCAGATATTTCTTAAGTGGTAAAAGACACCATCAAAATAAAACTTTAAATAATTAAACTATGAAATTAATAAAGGTGAACCATGTCAAATGCTATCTTAAGAGGGAGATGAGGTATTTTATATTTTAAACCTTTCAGATAATGGTTACTATTTAAATAAATTCTCTAAGCTTCAATTTCTAGAAGTTAGAAAAATGTAAACATATATTTGAATATTTACTGTTAGAAAATATTCATGTGCTATTTTTATCTTGTTTACTTTGAAACACCCACATTATAGAAGGAATGAAAAAAGCACACCAAACTGAGCTCAGAGCCCTTACATGGGGTGTTCAGAAAATACATTGTTCTAAGACAGAAGAAAGTCGTGAAAAAAATTGATGGTCCATAAAGGAGCAAAGGGGTACTAGGAAGCTGAATCCATTTCCGCAGTGTAAACCTGACTAGATGCAGTTGTGATGTTGACAGCAGTTGTTGCAAACCTGCACAGAATTAATGTAACTAAAATTGCCTGACCAATGTCAGACTGTGTTAAAAGAATGAGATGCACATTCTCATAATCTGTGAACAAATATTAATACCCTTACTGCAGCAGATATATTAGTTTACATACATACATATACATATGTTAGTTATATACACATTATAAACAAATTATCTTGCAAATAGAGGCAGTTTAGCTGAAAGAGCACAACAGAGGCTAACTTTGCTCTCTTGAGGAACTTAACTCCTTGACATGTTAAATTAATTTGCTCTGCATTCTCTTACACCGGACTAGCTGTTTTTCAACATCCAAAATAGCTTAGCTATTCTTACTATTCTTAGTTACAGAACTATCTCTGCACTTCACTGAAACCTAACTACATCCAGCATCTTAAACCTGGGACAGTGCTCTCAGGGAACTGAGAAAATTAGACTGAAGCTCTAACCCTAGTGTAGTGAAATCACAGTAGACCAAACATAGTTCTAATAATTTCAATAATCTTGCAGTAACAGTTTGTAGCAAGCAACACCATATACTGAAACACAATATTGACTTACCTCTTTTTTATCATGTGCAGGTACATGGTTAAAATATTCACACGCCTGCCAAAATAAAATATTTTCTTCACTAAATTCCTTCCGCAGAAATTCCTAGGGTGAAAATAAGCAAATAATTAAGCACATCATAAAGAAAAGAAGTTACTTGTGTTTTTTCACAGTGATAATTCAGTCCAGTTTTAATGCATGTCCAATATACACCTAGTGCTTTTCCTCTCTCATTTCTTTTAAATGTATACGGTTGAAATTAATGCATCAAGTTGCAATCACATCATTTTCACATACAAGAATGAAATTTCACGTTAGGTAGTATATATACACGAGTGAATAAACCTAATAAAAATTTAAATAATGTATAAGTACATTAAAAAATTATACCATAAACCAGCTGCCTTTAATTGCAGTACTAATAATAGAATAGAATAAATGTTTATCAAGCAGTGTGCATAACCAATTGTGTATTCATTAAAGCAATTTTCTGCATCACATGCCCACTACAAGAGTATTTCATCACTGCCTGCTTATGTGTTCAGATGGATTCTCCATGGAAAAGACTTTCTTAGAGGAAAATAAAATATCTCAGTAAAACAAACAATAATCACGTTTATATTACAGCATCCAAAGGTCCAAATAAGGACCAAGATTCCATTCAGTTTGAAAATTGTACAAAGACATACTGTCCCTGATTCAAATCTGTGTAGTTCAATTTTGTCTCAGCATATTTCTTGAAAGCATTTTACCCATTATTAAAAAAAAAAAAATCACTCTAAAAAGTAAACTTGGTCTTCTAAAAACTCTCCAGTGACTCATTTAGTTGGAACAATGCTTGTTTATGCTTTAGAGCTTTACCTATCAGTGTTTAAGTGAAAAGAATTTAGGTTATCATACAAGCCACAACCTTCACTCAAACATCACACTGCTATCACTCAAGTTTCCTTAACATTCAAGGCAGTCTCAGAGGAATCTTCACAGAAATACTTAAAACTAAACCTTATTTGTCCTTTTAGGACTTGCACAGAGTTCAGAGAGACCAACTGTAAAAAAAAACAAACAGTTCAGACAGACTACAACACACAGAGCCTAAATACACTAGCAGCCTCTCAGTTTAAACTATAAGTTTTTTAGATGCCTAACCTGAAAATTAAAAAATAAGTTTAAAAAAAAAAAACAAAAACAAAATGAGAGTAGTCAGGGGACATTGCTGTGTCTTACATGTAATTACAGATTAGAAGAGAATCAAATTAGTGAGCAGGAACTGGAACCCAACTGCCTACTTCCCCACTCTGTGCCTTCACATCTCCAGAAATATCCTCTTTGCCTTCTTTTTGGCCACATGACTTTGGCACAGCTGGCTGCACAACAATTAGGAAGACTGAATGGAGCCCCACTTGGAATATTACATGGCCTAGTAGCTGTCAAAATATGGCTGGGAAGCTGGAGATGTGGGTTTGAACCACTTGAGGGGGGAACTGCAAACAGGTCTCTCACTTCCTGGATGACTGCTCTCATCAACAGACTATTATGCAAAATGTGAGTATTTGCAAAACATGCAAAATCTCTTCTTCAAGAGTAATTTCTGCTGTGTGACAAAGCTGTCCTCAGGAAAGCCTCTGCATTCTGAATCCCAAATGGACCCAGATGCTACTATGAAATCGTAAATTACATGCTGATGCTCCAAGGTTCTTGAACCCTGGTGGGTATCTGCGCCATCTGGCTAGTTATAGGTGATTTCCTTCTGAGTCCATGGGGTTTTAGAACTTCCCTTTGAAGGAATGTTAACCTGTCACTTGCAAAGGCATTTCATCCAGCTACCATGATTCTACTTTATGCCAGAGTTCATGGCATTACTGTATCCAGGTAGCAGGTAAAGTTGAACAATGGCCTTGGATCTCTCTTGGGCCTCAAGAAAATGGTAGTGCACAATAAATTTCAGCACTCCCTTTCTTTAAATTGAGTATTTCTTTAACACATGTATTTGTGTAAAGTTGATAAAAATAATTTTTAATTGGAATGAGGAAAAAGTGAAACTTCCTGAATTTAATATCCGAGATCGCTTTTTGCTGAACTGAAATGCAATATTAACATTTAATCTGAAAATTCAATAAACACCGGTTACTTTCAAACTTCTTAATAAAAGTTTTAAACATTCATAGTACTAAAAGACTGCAGCAATTTCTTATGTATACATAAGTAAGCCTACTGATGGTTTACAAGTAACAAGAAAGGACAACTAAACTTTCAGTAAAACTATATCCTTTTTAGGTGGATTCTAACATTCTATCAAAATTGTAATTTTTCTTTCAGTATGAGGAGAATCTCAATATCTAAGCAAAAATGCTGATGGCTCTTAAACTACACTGCTAAGAAAAATGGTAAGACGGGGAACTTGATATCTAGGATGTATTATTTTCCTTTACTTCTTCTGTTTCCTCAAACAGGCATTCACTGTTAATCTGTTTTTCATGTCCCCTCACCATTTAAGCTGGAAGTCTGACTATTAATCATTTTAATGTACTTTCATATCAAGTAAAGGAGTTACTGCAGATTCCAGAAATCTACATCTCTTGTACCATAAGTTTCTTTATGTTCTGTTTGAGAAAATTATTTGGGCAGCACAAAAAGTCCTTGTACAACATATACAGAATCAACAACAGACTTTCTGAGCAACAATGCAAAACCATATACCCCTCAATTTCCTTATATGTAAAATAAGGATGATACTATTTATAACTTCATAAATGTCCCGTGAAGAAGTTTAATTTGTGCTTTGCAAATACTCAACTCTGTTCCTGAAAACTGCAGCTTTAACCACTGCTCTTAAAATACCTAACTACTTCAAAAATATTTCTAAAAAAGGTTTTTCAGGAAGATAAACCACTGTATCATCAAAAAAAAATCTTCTGCATGGTTTCCAACATTTCAGTAAAGCTTCCAAACATTTCAGTAGGCAAATATGTGAGTAAATCATTAACTCTTAGAGAACTACTGAAACCTTGCCTTTTTCTTGTAAAAAGGTAAGAGATACAAAATATAAACAAATAGAGATGTTATACAAAATGTGGAATCTTACTAAAAGTTCTGGTGCAAAGAAAAATATACCCTCCTCTGAGATTCAGATAAAATGAGGATAATTCATGAAAATACATTACTATGAACTCTTATTAAGCTGTGAACCAGTTTAAACTTAAAAGATGTTGAGATAACCATTGTGCAACAATGAACTATCTCTTGTCCTATGTAGGGATAGCATCACAAAAGGAAAAAAAAAATATTACAGCAGTGATATCAGGTAGCTTGAAAGGCCTCGTACTATTTCTCAAACCTTACCGAAAAATATTTAACACCGAGAGGATCCTGAAGAAGACGCTCGAATGAAACTGCCCAGCTTGCAACTCTTCTGTCTCGAAGTCGTCGACAGCTCTGTACGCTGGGAAGACTAGCATTGCTACTGAGGCTGTTCTCACTGATGCAATCTTTCAAATCAGTACTATTCAGCTCTGTTAAAAAAAAAAAGTTAATAAAATATTATTCACTTTTATTCTTTCCTCTGCAGCAGTTTTCTTCATTTATCACGTCTCTTTCACAAGCTCATAGTAGTGCAGACTTCAAAACCTCTCTGCATTGTTTATTAGGAGCACCTACATAGAAAATAATAATAACAGCCATCTCTCAATTTTATTCTGTTGCAAAGAAAATTAAAGGAGCATCTTAGCAGTAATGCCCTACCAGAAGCAAAAGGAGCAAGCAATGGATTCTGCTAACACTCCTCACCACATGGACTGCAATCTTTTGTAAGGTTATCCAAGGAAGATAGATCTTTAAAAATCTACCGCTCACCAGAAAGTGGAAAAAAAAAGAAAAAACTATTTGATGACAGAAGATTGAAAATTGTATAAAATTTTACTATCAGTAGTCAAAGGCTTTCTGAAGTGTTTCATAGAATGAGAGATTCTTGCTAAATGCTGAAAGTTTAGGAGAAAAACCAACTTAAAATAGTACTATCAACGAAAATGAGCTAGTAAAGGATGTCCTCCTTATTTTTGGGAAGCAGATGGGTCAATCCATAAATCTTAATTTGATTGGGGGTTTCTGACAAAAACAAAGATCCAAGACTCCATTCTAAATTCAAGTCAGCAATCAGCAACTATCTGGGGACCTCAATGTTCTCCTAGTCTGCGTGACGCAGCTCCCAGCAGGACACTTCTAAGAGGAGGCTGCTTCTCATCCTGTCCTTGCTGGGGTATTTGGGGGTCTTCTTGACATAAGTGATCACTAGAAAAATTCTATAATATCTAAATTCTGTAATACCTAAATAGCCTGCTTTAGTAGAATAATTTGCATATCTGAATAAAACATTTTCCTAATGAAACAACCAAGAGAGAATTAAACTACCAGTGTTTTCAAACAGCATAGGAATAAAATATTCAAAATGGGAGACTACATATCACTACTTAGATTCATACACAAAGCAATGTTGAGATGACACACTCATACACTCATTAGCCACCTCATACAAATAACCAAAAGGAAGAAATAATAAAAATGGTATGATGTTGCTTCAATTTAACTGCTAAAATGGTAGCTATAATAGTATATGGAATAAGCGAGAATAACAGTGGCAGGCTGTGGTCAGATCTTGAAGATGGCAGGTGGCAAGCAATACTGACTCAGAAGCTCAGTGTTACCCTACACTCACTCAGTGCCCTCTTTCAGGATGAAGTTGAGAAATGACCTGATACGTTAAATCTTGAAAAGAACAGAAATGGCTTTTGTATTCTGAACGACAAATAAACAAGAACCCATAGAAAAATTAGGAAAATACAACCTTGTGCAGCAGCATGACTGTTGTAACTTGAAGTATTAAACCAAAACCCTATTTTTTATATATCAGTAAATACAGTACACACAAAAAATATTGAAGAATCGACCACTTGTTCACATAGTGGAAAACTGAAAGAAATGACTCTTCTAAGGAAACAGCAGGGAATTATTCACACACTTGTCATTTATTTGTTGTATGTCCTTTTACAAAACACTACTCTCTCCATCTCTCAGCTTACACAAATGTAAAATCGATACAGAAGTACTCACAGTTACCCACTTCACAGAGTAGGTCTGAGGTTTAATTGTGAACTGAATAAAGCCTTGAACAACCCTGTCTCAAAATGGACCCTGTTTAGAGCAGGAGGTTGGACCTGAGACATGCCAAACCAAATGAATTTGTGATGAAGGGATAAAAACAGGTAATCATTCAATTATTCGAAAAATTAGCAGTAACAGATGTGAGAAAATACTTTCCTCAAATAAAATAATGGTGTCCCCAAAAATCTCTCAAGGTCTCCTTTTCTGTTATATATTTGGAATGATTTTGCGTTTCCAAATTCTGTGTCACAAAACTTTATTGTTCATCCTGGGAAGTATGAGCTTGGAAAAAAGGGCCACTCAAAGACGGTTACAAACACACCAAAAAGTTATAAACATTGTTATAAAGATAAGAAAATTTAAAGAAAAAAATAGTTCTGAAACTTCATTTTTGTACGTATTCTGTAGCTTACCAATATTCACTAAGATCTAAAAGCTAACTACTGCACTTTTCAGTAAGCAAAGCTATTGTTTAAGCAAAATGTTGCAAAAAAAAGATACAGAATTAGATTAGAGGCAAATTAAAATGAGTATTTTCAACAAGGATAATATTTAAGGAGCATAATAATACATTAGGCATAAAAATATTTTTTATTTGCCTCATGGTCATATTCATCAAAACTATTGAAAAAGACTCAGCAAATAATGCTAAATATCCTTATAACAAATATTTATTCACTTTCTCCTGTAAGACATATCAAAGAGCATAACCAAGTCAACTGTTAGCCTCATTAGAGAATACCTGTCACCACAGTGAAACTATTGTGAAAGAAGCTAATGTGAATCTGAAGAGAATTACAGCTAAATTTATTACCAGGAGTATTTTGCTTTAACTCTGCAAGTGGATACGTTCTATTTTACAGTCCAGGATATAAATAGACACCCACTTCTCGATATATCTGGAACAGTTTCAGATGTTACTGCCTCACTACAAGAGGGTTCGATGCCCGGAGTTCTCCGGTGACGAACGATGAGTTTCCTAGGCCCGAATGATGAACATTTCCTAGGCCCGTTGAGGCAATCTCCAAAAGGTAAACTCATCCCACATACCAAGCTGCCTAACCCTAGGTGGGCGACAGGAGGAGGTTAGGGAGTAGCCACAGGAACTGCTCAACCCTAAAGGGCAAGTCACAGTGCCGTAGGACTCCCAGGGACTGGGAAATGGTAGGCACAGCAGTCTTTGGAAGAGCAGCTTCTCCCTCCTCCCAAGGGTGGCTGTTCAGCTTCCCCATGGTAGGGAGGAAGACCAAATTGCAATTACAGTCCGGGTGTTTACACCAGTCGGTAACTGCTAACTACCTCTAATTGCTAGCAGCTGCTCACTCTCCAGCTTGTCAGAGTTACATTTGCTATAAACTATGCTGGTTTCTCATTCCTCTGATACGCTGCCGACTCTGGAGGTCCCCTGAAAACAAATGAATCAAAATAAGACTGCATTTTCAACAGCTCTGAGAGCTACTGGCACAGGTCCTCCAAAGCGTTAGAGCGGCATTAAGGGCTTACTCATTCTCAGTAAACTGTTTCTGTTCTGTTGGACTTTATTTAGCTAACTCAGATTTTCTTCAGAAAGTACCGTTAACCCTGGCACTGCTTTGTTTTCCCTTAAAAAGGAAACACAGTCAGTTTGCTTTTCGAAGGGGTACAGATTTCTGTTGGAGTACCATTAACCTGGAAACGAGGCAGAACAGGGTTATTCCCCAGGACAGGGCTTGGTTAAGTACGTGTATCAATGGTTGTAATTAAGTTACAGCATGGTATAGCAGTATGCAATCTAGAATTAGAAATAAAGACGGAAAAATATCACCAACTCTCACACCAGGACGTAATTTATCCAAATCACACTTAAATGCAGAGTGTATAAGCTGTAACTCCTGTTCCACTCCGGTTGCAGAGGAATGCTTCCCCTGTAAGCCTGCCGTGTCAGGTTTCCTGACTCACACCACTTGCATTCCTTGCTACACACAGCCCACCCTGCAAAGGAGGAATAGGGCCACTTTCCAACCCCGTCACCTATTTCCTCTAACGATCGCTCTGTGCCCTCACACCTAGAGCCCTGACCCCTCACCCTCAAACATTTTAATCACCTGGCTGTGCAAAGCTTCCAAATACCTTCCTTCCTTCCTTTTTCCTTATTGTGCAGCTACACTGACCCAGCTTGCGTTACCTGTAAAAGGAGGCTCCTTACTGAAGCATCAGGAATCCAGTGGCCCTACATTTATTTCTGTTGTAAGAACCACCGCACCCAGCGAGGAAGTACCACTGCCTGTGCAAACTCATTGGTTCATTTATTACCATCTTCAAACACAGAACTGTGACAGAATACTTCCTAAAATCCACACAACCTTTTACACCCTTTGTGTTTACACAATAAAGTGTTATGTAAGAAAATATACACATTTAATCATCTACAATCTTCAAAGTATTCAGGATAAAATGGCTTTGAAAGTTTTCATTTAAATCATATAAAGCAATATACATTTTAAATCATATAAAGCAAAATCTGAACGCAATTAAGGATATTTTTGTAAGCATTTTTTCGTAAAATCCATCTATATTTCTTAACCCACTAATACTTTTTTATTATTGTGAGCAGCTCCACATACTCCTAGTAATCATCTGAATGCACACACTCATATAATTATGATATTCCACTTAATCACTAAATACATTACCTGGATAAAGCTGATACGAACCACTGTGGTGCCACTTAATCAAATACTTCAAGGCATTCACTGACAGCCATCCTTCTGAATCCATACCAAGTTCAGCTGTAACGTCCCGGAACCCATTGGGTGAAAGCTGGCCTCACTGCCCGGCACATTGCTCCTCTGCGACTTTGGGATAAGGGAAGCTAACGCGTCCTCCTCCGGCAATTCCTGGTAGCTTTTTACACCATTCTAAACAAATCGATTCTTTACCCTCATGGCTTCAAGCAGAGGAAGCCAATAGTATACTTAACACAAAGCACTATAAAAATGCTCCATAAATAATTGAAAGAAAAGACCTTTTGCCACTGCTGCTAAAGGAGCTTGAATTATTTATGTAAGAGTGGAACACAGCTACAGCACGCACTGCCAACGGAACTGAAAAATAAGTCGTATACCTGCTGGAGGAAATAATGCCTCTGTATTTACAGTGTAAACGGTAGTGGTTTGTTTTATTTTGGATATCATTATGGATTTCTTGTGCTACCTTCTTTAGTTACTTTTTAGAATAATAGATAATGTAAAAATGTATTTGAAACATCAGATTCCTTTCGAAAGATTCTTTAGGACCTTTTCCTTATGGAAATTCTGGATGATGAACACTAAAACCAGAAGTGAGCTGATGCAACAGCAAAGTGGTATCTCAGGAAAAAGACATGCCTATAGTATCTGATGTACTTTGGTATGTGGAAATAATAGACTTCAGCATCGCGGAACTGATCTCTGTAGGGAATAACAGGTAAGAATTGAGTTAGAGATTCTTAATAGAGCTATTAAGATACCTCACCACCTGGGACCATCTGTCTGGGAGATGAATGACGGTGTACTTTTATTACATGCCCTTTGACCTTAAGGTTTGCCCTTTGTAAAGTGCCGTCTAGGCAGGTATCAATAGTGAAAGCCAGAAATTAGCTGGGGACTAATGATCATCCCTGAGATGATTTAGATTGCGCTGCGCTCAAAACGTCAGCCAGGCTGGGGCATGCTGTGTCAGCACGCTCCTACTCCTGCTGTAGCAGGAACGTATAGTTTCCAGGGTGGGAAGTAGGAGCAATCTGCTAATTACCCTTGGTTGTAGTAACATAAAATGGTTTCTACTGTTCCCACAGCATAGGTGCTGTAACTGATCTATAGCAGTGATCTCGCAGCAGTATTACAGTTTGCATTCTGATTGTCTGCAATTCATTAAGCAGGTCAGATACAGTTAGAGTTGCAGCAGGCATCTCTGTAGTATCTCTGGAAACACCGTTAACTTAAGGATCCATATCTTTTACCCCTTTCACAAAGCCCAAGCATGCAGTTTTAGCTAATGACAACATCATAGCCTTGCCTAAGCAGAGTTACCATGTAAAACTTTTACAAGGGGTAGATGTTTTCCAGTTCCTGTCTCTGATGCAATAAAATCCATACGACATGAGGCTTAATTGACTTTGGAAAAAAGATGTGCAGAGAGAGTTGTGCCTCCTATTATATGGAAAGGATGTATATAAACACATTATTATTACTTTTCAAACATCAATTTCCCTTCCCAGACTGAAGCTTAACAACAATATTTATACCATACACATGTACAAACACTCTTAGTCTAGGAAGAGAAATACACACTGCTATACTAATAGCTACAGGGGTGCAAATCTCTCTAATTTAGATGTTCTCTAAAATGTGCAAATCTGTGGATCTATTAATGAATTAGTGAAATTGGAGAAGATTGGAAAACTTCAGTGCTGTGACAATTTCAATAAAAGTGAAAGCCTGAAGATGTAATTCAGACGTGAATCAGAGCTTTTACTCAATGAAATGGATTAGGATTTTCCTTCATTTCTGTTTTTCTGGCTATATTCTCTTTGGTTCTTATTTTTCCAAATTTCTTTCTAGTATTCAAGCATTTATTCAATATTACTTATCACAGCTCAACTACTGCATCTTACATAAATTATGCCCCCTCTTCACTGGGTACCATTAAGAATGAAGAGAGTGCGTGTTAAATCTTCAGCACTAGCTGAAAAAATCGTAGGTCATACAACTTGGCAGAAAAATACTTATACATTCCTATCTGTTCTTTCCCCTCTGCAACCTATAGGGCCCTCAGGTTTCAATTCTTCACAAAACTGGATAGAATTAACTGCGAAAACACAATTACCTATGGAATTGGAAAGAAATGCAAGTAGCCATACTGGAAAAACTGAAAATAAGTCCGATCTTCAAAATAAACTTTCAGCTGGAAGGTTGAAATGACTATCAGATGAGTAATATCACAGGGATCTCCAAGTTTGGGTAGGCAACAGGAGTAAAACAATTTTCACTAATATAGGAGGAGAACCTTCGAGGAAAAAAGACACAAGTGCATCCTACTTTTAGCTAAAAAAGATCAATCAACTTTTTTGTCCCTCAGCACCTGGAATTTAATCCAACTACATCCAACCAGAAGTCTGTGCTTTGTCTTCCCTGATGTTTATATCAAAGAGGTATCATCCAGGGAAAAATACATATTTTTCCCACAAAAACAACGGCTCTATTTTAGACATAGAAAGCAGAACAGACAATTATTTTCTGTTTCATTCTGTTGCCACTTTGCAGATCAGACAAATACATTACAGAGTCTAGCTTCTCATCGGGACAGAAGTACTGTTAGAGCAGTAGACTGTCAGCAATGGAGAAGAAAAACACCTTACAATGAGTCAGCCAGCCACTGGAAAATGGCTCTACCCAAAGGACTAAAACAGTAATATTTCTCAACTGTAATTTTAATATTGCAAGAAATCAGAAATTAAGACATGATGGAATTTTGTGAAGAGTATTGCCACTTTTGCACTTACATTTGCATAATATAAAAAAATTATCCTTACCATTTACAACATTTCTTCAGCTTTACAGCACTAATTAGAACAGTTTGTCTCCTTCATATCTAAGAAAATTGTCTTTTTAGTGTTGTGAAAGAACACCAAACATAACAATATGTATGTAAGTGAATTTCTCTGGAGGATCAATTGAACCAACTCCCGCCAAGCAAGTCAAGTGAGAAAAACCATCTCTTTTATACTCTAAACTACACACATTTCTTTATTCCATTAAGGAAGCATACTTAAACTGTTTCAATTAACTTCAAAGATTCAGAGAAATCATCTTCTTCTAATGTTTAACAAAGAGTGGACAGTCCTTTAAAGCATTAAAGCCATTTTAAAATCAAAACAAACAAGCTTAGGTGACGCAAAGAGGAGCTTACTTAGAAGTACTCTAGGACTGCAACAGCTTTATGCTGGGATTTTACAATTATCAAATTACTTACCCCCTTCTCAAAAGGCATCACACTATAAAGAAATTTCAACCTTAACCTTTTTGACTTCAACAGATTACAATTTAGCAGCTAGTGCATCTCTCTTCAAAAGCCAACAGTGTTTGTAAGGGACAATAAAATACAGAAAGAGATTTTATCTAGCATCCATTTACATGAAAGACATCTAGCTCTGCCTTTTCATTATTATGAATGAAGAATCCTAGTTATAATAAAAATGTGTATATAGGGAGATATATGCCACACACACACAAAAAAAAAAATCAAATCAGTGAAAGCATGTGAACATAATCCTGCAGCATTTCCACTGGTGTAGCTCCTGAAGAAGTCACAAAGTGCTGCACCACTTCGGATTCACATCTTGTAATATATCACCTTATTTACCACATGCTACATTGCTTAATGGGGAAAAATTGATTCTTTTTCGTTATAAAAGTAAAAACATGCTTCAGCTTACCTCCATCAGAGACAGTTGCTGACTGCAATAAGAAAGAGAAAAATAAGTGTTACTTTAGTTTCATGACAAGTATTAGAAATCTCTGAGCTTCACAGATTATTTGAAGTGTTAGTTAATTTTATCATCATATTGTTAATATAACAGATAATGTGAGAGACAAAAACCTAAATATACCAGCTGTTATTTTCTCACAGGTGTTTCCTCCCCACCATGAAAATCTCCCCTGTCCTTTAAACCACTCCTGGAACTTGATCCCACAAATATTTACTGACAAAGTACTTCCTGCTGTGAGTAGCAGCAATGATTTCAACGTCCTTTTTGGATGAATAGAGTCCATCAGTTGGTGTATGGGAGAAAGCAGATAGCTCAAAAGTGACCGACAAGAACTTAAAATGAAAAGAACACCTCATAGACCTTATTTTGCTGCATTATATGGAGATAGGTGGAATCAAAATTAAAAGTCAGATGTTTTAGCAGTCAGAAGATTGAAAACTTCCCCTGCTGATGGTTTCTGACTTCCACAGAGCCAGAAAGGTGTAGGAGTGTTTTCAATAAGCTAGGACTGAGGTAGAACTCCTCACCATCTCTAATAGCATCTTACATCACTTTTTCAAGGACAGACTTAGTGAAATGTTGAAGATTGTGTGTTTATCAACCCTAACCATCTCACCTTTGAAAGCAAACTACCTCAAGGCAGCTAAGATTTCTCTAAAAATCAGCAAGGTGAAAGCTTCCCAACCATGTCCTCCAGAGCTGGCACCTCAACACTCAGCTGAGTGAAAGACTGGAAGGACAGCTGATTTTTAGATTGAAGCTTGTACTGATTTTCAATGGCTGTTAAAACTTATTATTAGTTTAACTTGGAAATAATCTTGGAGAATCTTTCTTCGATCACTTGAAGTATCATTGAGCCTTAAATAAATTCCTAAATAGTTCAAAATTAACTCTCCTGTTTTGTATGGCTGCTTAAAGAGCTAGGAAAGAATGCCCTATATATCTGTAATATTTCCAAGACAGAAAACACACAGAAGAAAAACCAGGCATATAAACACGGCTCAAGAGAAAAGCTGCCTATCCATAATTTGTCAACCTTGGTAACAAACATTCCCTCTCCCCCTCAAAATCCACAAAACCCTTTAGTAATCTTTAAACGAATAAATTCTTCTCCCTTCTTTCTTTATTTTTGTGTTTCACTGCAGCATTTCATCCTGCTGTTGATGCTATCTGAAGAACATTGCCTTCTATAAACTGCTGCAGCACCATCATTCCCATAATCAGCAGAGGATCTGATCTAGTTTTTCATAAAAGTATTCTGGAATTTTCAAAGTCTAAACTAATCTCTATTGACAGCATTCCTCCAGTGCTAGTTCAGATAAACACAAATCCATCAAGAAAAAAAAAAAAAAAGATGACCCTTCTTGTTAAACTCCACAGAGATAAAGGCTTGTGAATCTATGAAGCATAATAAGATAATCAAACGTGCGTCTAGGCCTCCTGCTTGCTTAACACCACTGTTTTGGATATCAAAAATACATTTGTTATCAAAAATGCACTCTGTGAGGTGTAAGACGTCTTTTCTACTTCTCTTTTGCATGACGTTTAGCAAGTATATTGTGCATTCATAACTTGTAACTTAACTCATCTTCACAATCTAGAAATTATAATTTACCTTCCTGAACCATTTTACATCAAATTTTCAAGGACAATTAGACTTTTCATGAAATTTTGAAGTTTGTGTGTTTACCTACCCTAAACTTCTCACCTTTGATCGCAAATTACCTTAAGGCAGCTATCAATAGAATTGCTTCTAATTTCTTATTTGCATGCTGTACAGACCATAAAATCACAGAATATCCCATATTGCAAGAGACCACAAGGATCGAGTCCAACTTCTAGGTTGGACAGCCCAAAAAATCAGACCTTGTGTCTGAGAGCATTGTCTAAAGGCTTCTTGATAAAGCTGATAAATAAAAATCAATTTTTTTCTCAAAGAATGAAGAAAATAAAGTAGTAGCATCACTTTACATAGAAGACAGAAAATAAATTAAAAAAAATAAAAAACTACTTTAAAAACATATACATTTTAGGAACAGTCATTTACTTTGGCAAGTTCCATGAATCTAGATGAAAACACCAAGTACGATTCTCCTTCATGTTTGTGAAAGGTAAGAAGTAAAACTAGCAGGGTTCTCATGATAGAAAAAGAATATTTCCACTACTTTTGGAAAAATGGTGTGATTTTGCAGAAAAGATGATTACAGTGAAAAATTACAGTGATAGGACCACTTAATTACATTCTGTGGACAGTGAGATGGAGTTTTACTTAAAGCCATTTAGCTTGTTAAGGCAGTGGGCCTCCTACACACCATGAGCTGGCTTTGCCTGTTTGTTTATTTTGAATGCTTTGGCTAATGCACGTTAATTGCAAATATCAATATCTCAAAATTTCTCTAAGCAAGGCCGCCTTAGTAATTGTTATGTTTAAACATACCAAAAAAAAATTTGAACCCATAGGAAGAACAGAATTTCTCATCTAAATACCAGCCACCTTTTTTTATTCTGAGATATTCCAAATTCCCTTTGGCTTCCTCTAAAATTACCCAGCACTTTCCAAGGATATCACTTTACTTTTTTAGATCACAGACCAACATTTATTATAAGAACGTTTCTTTAAATTCAGCTATGTATCTGAACTCAATCCACTTAATTCAACAAAGCCAGCTGGAAACTAAAGCTTGTAATTATTGTGCAAGAATGTACAGTAATGTGTTCAAAACATGTTTGTGAATACTTAGAAATCTTAATATAAACCTGTCAGAAACTGCATACAGTCCACATTTAGACAAAGCAGTTTTTATTCTAAACTGTTCAGCTGAAACTTGTCTAGATTTGTCCACAGGTGTAAGTTGCAAGACCAGATTTTTTTAAATACTGTGATGATCTCATTTTAAAAATTCGGTATATGGTGGGGGCTGGTTTTCATTCTTCACTGTTCATGCTCACCACCACTGGAAGCTCTTCAGGACAAAATTTGATCTCCTATATATATAAAAATTGATTTTTTGATGAAATTTAACACTTACCATATACCTACTAGGAAGTACCTATTAGAAAACATAACTATTGCAAAGCAATAAAATGGAATGGTTCTTTTATGTAGCCATGTCTGAAAGATGAGGAAAGATACCATATGAGCCTGTGCCAGGTAGGGTCAAGGTGAAGGTCAAAAAAAAAAAAGGCTGGACAAATGACAGGACATGTATGTATTCTTTTTGTGGACTATATGAACTATCACTCCGAGATAAAATCTGAATTGTATTCAACCCTCAAATCTTTCGCAACCAGATAAGAACTTAAATTAGTTCTTCAAATTACTCTGACTTCCAAACTGGTTTAGGGAAAAGCCCCGTGGTGTGTGCCAGGAGCCTGATGGCAACAAGTACCAGAATGTTAAAAAGAAGTCAAATTTAGGAGCACAAAAATGTCTTCCAGGGTGTCTCTTCACCGGAACTCTGCTTGCTCCTCTGGCTGGATTAGCAGCTGAGCTGTGCAGACACACACACGCCAGCGGTGGCGGATGCAAGTCTCTTCCCTAGACTTCAGGGCAAGATCTTGATCCCTGGGATCCAAGCGAGGAGCTTAGCGCCAGGGCGAGCAAGCTGAGCAACGGCTTCCCACTCAGTTAGCACACACCATACCAGACGTTTTAGGTCTCTATAAAACGGCAAATGCTTCAGCATATATTAGATAGCATAAGGTTCTGGTTAAGGGAAAACATGTAAAATTTCTCTTTGGATCACCTCTCTTTGCTAGGTGGAAAAACCAGAAGGGCCCATGAGGTTTTTGATGTCATGTTCAGGATCTGCTTGCAATACAGCTAAAAGAGGATTAGCTTACAGTAATTAACAGGGAGAAGACTACTTTATGAGGATATAAACTTCTTATTCCAGAATAGATCCAGACAACACAGCCCCAACAACAGGGGGAAGATGGAGAGAGGGCATAAAGGAGAATGCAATTCAAAAGGTTGAAGCAGCCTGTACCTGTTAGCTCCCATGGTCTCTAACCTGCGAGATGTGGGCACCACTACATGACACTACTTTGATGACACCTTTCAGCTGACAAAAACTCTCATCCAGGAAATCCACTTAGATTCAGAGAGAGTCCACCTTTACATGGATCAGGTCCCAGGTAATTAACTAAGTACCGACAAGCTCTGCCACAAAACCATGACGCCAAAAAAAAAAAAAAAAAAAAAAAACAACAACAAAAATACTCTGTCCATATCCCAGACTCTATTTTGAAGAACTAAAGCCATGTGTACAGACTACCCAGGTAACTCAACACAAAATGTCCTTTTTCACCTCCTCAGGATTTGTCATCCAAGTCAATAGTCATGCTCAAATGCTGAAGGAAAACAAAGGGAAAGATGAGGGGACTGGGAGGGGTGACACACGCTAGGAAATGCCAGGCCTTAACAATAAAACGGAGCAACATGAAATCATCTCTGTTAATAGAATGTGGGTGAGTGCCTTCCTGAGGGGAAAAAAAAAAAAAAAAAAAAAAAAAAAAAAAAGCCATATATATTTTGAACTATTTCTGAGATACACAGGGATAAAAAGCTTTAAACAGAGTGAAAAAATACTGTTCTCTGCTACCCTACCCATGACAAAATCACAGACTAAACAAATATCTATCTCTTTTATGGGCATCCAGAAAGATTCGGGGGAAAGGGGATTTGATTTATAAGTGACCTCTGGGTGTCCTTTCTAAAGCACTTTCTTCCAACATAGGCATTGACTTTTTGCAGCACCCAGAGCTCTCTGACTGCTGCCTGTGGAGGCTGTTAGACTTACTGATTACAGTTTTACACTGCCCTCTCCTTTCCAAAAGCCCCTCTAATTATGCATTTCGGCATGGAATAGCTTCCCTAGCTCCACTGACCTTCTAAACTGATTAGCTCATATAATTTCAATATACAAAATAACTTTGGGACACTTGTCATGTTCTTCAAGAGACAAA